AATGTTTTGAGAATGATGATGTACAAATGTGCTGGACACACGGGTGGGTGGATGGATGGTGACAAGAGCTGGACGAGCCCCAATGAAATGAGTGAAAAAAGAAAAGGGAAGCCTGATGGGGCAAGATCAGGGTGGCAGCACTACGTTTCCCACCAGATTCTCACAGGACAGCCTTTGCACCCCTGGGAGAGGGGCAGGTGCATTGTCAGGACAGGAAAGAACTCCTCCTCCCGACTTCCCTGTCCTTTTCCCCACCCATGCTATTTTCAATATCCTTAAACATGCTTCCCAATAGCCCGCTGTGAAAATCCACTGGAAAGTCTGTCAGAACCTCCTGAGCTGATTCCTCCACCGTGCAGTTTGTGGACCCAGCAGATCCCCTCAGCAGCCACTGCGTTGTTGGACCCTGCTCTCTGGACCACAACTGGCCAATGCAAGATTCATCCGTTAAAATACTTTCCAACCCATGTGACCTTGCTGAAAAGATCGACGGCAAGACCCCCTCTGTGCGCGCTGACCTCCCTGCACCGCGTTTGGTGTCTACTACATCTGAAGCGTGTGGGGGCCAAGGTGCTGTTGCAACCTTGAACATGCTGTGGAGCCACATCCCGGCTTCGTGGCAATGGCATTAGTGGGCATTCTGTGGTGTCTCCCTCTGGCCTCTGCGCTTCACCACAGTTTCTTCCTGCATCAGGGTGGATAGTCTCCCTGCTCCTCACTCAGCCCAACCAAACCCGAGCCACTGCCACAGCGTGGATCCTGACTCATAGCAACACAGGTAGACTCTCTGGGGCTGTAAATCTTTCTGGGAGCAGCCTCATCTTTCTTCTATGGAGGGACTGGTGGGTTTGAACCGCCAACCTTGCACTTGAGCCCAGGCAAATAGTTAATACAAATACTAATGTATTGTGATTCGTGCTATGGAAGAAAAGTACAGAGTGCTGTAATCAGAGAGCCTGGGCGTTTTCTCTGATCCCTAACCCAAAGCACCGATGGGCCTCCTTTGACGTCTTTCCACCCATTCCAAATTCACTGCTACAGGGTTGGTTCAACTCATAGCAACCCTCTAGGACAGTGGAGAAGTGCTCCTTAGGGTCTTCAAGGATGGACATCTTTCTGGAGCAGACGGCTGTATTTTTCTTCCCTAGAGTGGCTGGTGGGTTGAAACCACGGGCTTTGTGGTTAGCAGCCCATGTTTAACCTACTACACCGCAACACCCCAAATTTCAACAACAAACAAACACTCACTTCCATGGAGTCGCTGACGACGGAGACCAACCCGGTGGGAGAAAGTAGAACTGCCCGTGCATCTCCGAGGCTGTAACTGTTGAAGGAGCAGCTGGTGGTTTTGAACTGCGGACCTTTGGGTTTGCAGCCCCACGCTTAGCCACTTACTTGCCTAACACAACCAAGGTTCCCAGTGTGAAACTGGACAGAAATAGACTAGCAGTCTCAGCCCTCCTTACAACGCCTGAGCTCTTGGAAGACGGTGGTCTTGTGTGGGCAGCGTCCTGTCCCATGTTGCCAAGCCTCAATGACTTCAAAAGCTGTTTAGACAGAGCCACGGACATCGCTGAGAGAGCTTGTTTGCGGTCTTCTGCTGATCGCAGAGACATTCTTCAATCAGTTTTATTTGAAATAAGCTGTGCATGGGGTGAGCTGGAAACCTGGCAGCAATACGTGCGACTTTCCTGATACGTAGACCTGTGAGTTTTTAGACTTTAAATTGTTACAGGAGCAGATGGCCTCATCTCTCTTCCACAGAGTGCCCGGTTGGTTTGAACTGCTGGCCTTGCAGTTATCAGCTCAATGTGTAACCTGTCACACCACCAGGACTCCTAGTCATGGCAGGAGCATCGTGCTTCATTCTTACGTCTTTGTGGTTCACTAGCTCTTTTCGTTTGTTCTGCTATTAGTCCAGTGCAGTAGTTCCTGAGCAGCTATTAAGTACCAGCCACAGTACCAGGCATGAGAAATTCAAGGCTGAATAAGACACACAGAGACCTCATTTGATGGGACACATGGAAGGGTCTGTGGTCTAGTGGGAGAGCCCAGACAACTAGTTAATGGAAACACTAATTTAGCGTGATCGTGTTGTGGAAGAAAAGGGCAGAGTATTGGGAAAGGCTGGGGGCTCTCTCCTCTCTGTAGGTGAGTGATAGTGACCGGGGACTCTCCTGGGCACCCTCGAGAAGTCCCCTCAGCTCACCCTGGCCCTGTCTCAGGCCTCAGCTTCTGGCTCCTGAGCTCCGGAAGCCACGTCTCTGCTGCTGCTGTGTGGTCAGGGCCCTCCTCTGGGCCTCCTGGCGCTGCTGAATTCCACATCCCATCGTCCATTCCGGCAGCATCTGGAAACACAGCCTGGAACAGAGGTGCCCGTGGGCTGGCTTAAGGTCTGGCCTGGGGAGGCCTTCTGAAGAGATCCCTACCACCATGCCTCTGGGCATTCTCCTGGTCTCAGGCATGGGAGATCCTGCCCCTAACCAGGAAGGGGTTGGAGAGAGGTGAGGAGGAGCCAAGGGGCAGGAGGAGAGAGGCTGGGGTGCAGGGCCTGGCCCAGTCTGGACATGTCAGTCAGCCCCCGAGTCGAGGAGGGCGTCCTGAGAGCAGGAGGAGAGAGGGTCTGGGGCACATCAAGCCCTGCAGGGCCGCTACAGCAGAGCACAGGTTCCAGGGTGTGTTCCCATTTCCACTGTGACCTATGGTTCTCCAGGTGTGTCGCCCGGAGCCAACTGCAAGTCTCACCTGAGTCTGCAGACCCCAGGTGACCTGGCTGACAGCCCTCGGCGCTCTCAGGGCCTGCACAAGGTGCCTTCCAGGAATGAACGGCTAGTCCTCGCCAGGACCCAGAGGAGACTCAAAGAGCACAGTGGCATGCCCAAGGTCATACAGCAGGGAAGGTGGCAGAACTGGAAGCCCACACTATGTTTACTGAGTGAATAAATGGGTGGGTGAAGGATGCCCTGGATATTTGCCATGGCATCCTCCCCAAACACGTTCCCCCCACCCCCACCCCCGTCCTCAGTGAGAAGCCATGACCTGTTCCAGAGGAAGGAGGGAGAGGGCACATCTTAACCCAGGAGACAGCTGGCTTGTTTATGGGCACAGTTTAGGCATTGGGGAAACTTTGCTTCATTCCCCACAATGTCCCCCCATAATTATGCCGATTTTAAGATGCTGCTTGCAAGGGCATGGTTGCTACGATACACTTGAAGGTTAACCAATTAAAGGTTGTCTACCATCAAAACACCCACCGTAAGGATGGCCCTGTCCCTTCCGACAAGGATCATAGATTGATCCTCTAGCGAAGAGCTCAGAGACACTTAAGGTCAAGCTAGCTCATTGACGACCGAGGTTAAGCCGCCATCTTAACTCTAGAACCTGCCCGCCTTGTTACGTGTGTACCTTCCTGTCACGTGTATGCCGCTAGCACATCCCCTTCCTATTACGTATGTGCTTACCAGGGCTTGCTAACCCAAGAGTATATAAGCGTGTCAGAGAATATAACGCTTTCTCTCTCTTGCTCAATCCTGCCATCAGAAGAGATGATCCCTTGCATGTCTTGTCTGATGTTTCCTTAATTTACCCTTCAATGATACAACCACCCCTTTGGACCCATTCAGTTGGGGAGGCTGATCCCCCACAACAGAAGCCAGTATTCTCCTTGTGGGAACTTTCTCTTCTCCACCCAATCACTGAGGGCTGGCTGGCTGAGCATCAGTCCTGACTCCAGTGTACCAGGATATCTAGACTCCCCCACCCCCACGACTGGCTCAAGGGTGAGCATGTGATCACAATCTAGATAGATGACAGTGATGCCAGAGACGTGATTCAATGATAACAGACAGGCTCTCTTCCTCTGCAGATGCTAAGACAGAGGATGTAAGGCAGGAAGATGAGACCAGGGGTATCCTTGTCATCTTGTAGGGAGAACCTCCTTGACAATGGAGCCAACAAGGAGCAAGGAAGAGCCAAGCAATATTCATTCAGTACCTTGATCCAGCCACACCTGAAGTCTACCACTGGATTTATCAGCTGTTTATTTTCACTCCTGCTTTATCCAGCTTGAATTGGGTTTTGTAATGGAAAGGGTCTTACATAAAGCAAGGAAGCAAGGTGGGAGGTGATGCAGACGGGGGAGGCAAATGGTGCCAACCAGTGGGGAAGGAAGGGATCAGAACATGAGGTGTGGGCCCCTACCTGGCTGACGCCTGATATGGTGGGTTCAACCCCAGTCCTCTTGCTGGTGGTCCTCAGACTAGAAGTTGGCCAAGCGTCTGCAACGTTGACCCAATCCTCTGTGTGTGCCTGGCTATTGCTGCCATCCATTGTGCCCAACTCAATGAAGGTTCCAATAGACTGGGCATCAGCCACTGTGCTACTGCAGGAGGACTTCAGTCAAGGTTTTATGAACGCCATTACTGACCACTGCTTTGGCAGCCCTTGCCAGGTCTGCAACAGAGAGGACATCGCTCAGGGAAGGGACTGGGTCCAGGACAGGCCCAGGAGGGGCATGCAGCACAACCGAAGTGCCAACCACCTACAATTCAAACACACACACACACACACACCAAACTCACTCCATTGACCCAATTCCAACTCATAGCGACCCTGTAGGATAGAGTAGTGCCGTGCCTGTGCGTGTCCGAGACTGTTAACCTTTGTGTGAGCAAAAGCCTCATCGCTCCCTGTAACTGGTGACTTCAAACTGCTGACCTTGTGGTTAGCAACCCGACTCATCACCCACTGCACCACGCAGTTTCCCAGCATTCTCTCAGCAGTTCTGAGCAAAGGAGGCCCGAGGTCTAGCACTTCATAGGTCACAGAACAGGATTTGAACCATGGCTGGCTGGGTCTCCAAACTTGTCTCTAAAGGTTGTTCTTTGAAATAGCTATCCCACAAAGAGAGAGAGAGAGAGAGACAGACAGAGAGACGCAGATGTGTTTGGAAAGTTCTGGAAACAAAATTAAGCAGACTTATTTCCTATAGGATTTTTCAAAGCCTCTCAACTCCAGAGCAGAAAGCCTCATCTTTTTTCCAAGGAGCAACTGGTGGGCTTGTGGTTAGCATCCCGACTTGGAACCCACGATGCCACCAGGGCTCCTGGGTGGAGAGAGGCGTGATGGAACTGGAGAGTCGCGGGGAAACAATCCAACGGACCCACAAACGTCAGCTCCCACAATGCTGGCCCTGAAGAACCAGAGGGTGCCTGGTTCCCACTCCCACCTGCTGGGAAAAGGGTCACCTGAGAGGGGGAGAAAAATGTGGAGCAAAACTCAAAATCCTGAGAGAAACTAGATGTATCCGCCAGATGGAGACGGGGGGACCCTGAGACCATGGCCCTTCGTCTGGAACGGACTCAGCCCTGTGGTGGAATAATCGACCCTTGAAGACCAAAAGAACAGGCCACTGGGTGAGGAGAGGAGGACGAAGGGAGATAGCCAGCCTGGGGAGAAGGCCGAGGAAGTGACGGACACCGAGGGAAACCAACCATATGGATGTAGCGCTGAAGGTGTGCTCTGAAAACCTTTCCCTAATTCCCAATTAACAGTTGGGGGGGGGGGGGCGGTGCCTGGAGGAGGACATCCTGCTTGGAAAACCTGGAGCACCAGAGAGAATGAAGCCCCTTGGGGAGATAGATGCCTTCACGGGGTGGCTGCCACGGTGGGCTCACACCTAGCCACGACTGTGAACCCAGTTCTTTCACTTCGTTGTAGGGAGCCGTCAGGAGTAGGAGCTGACTGGACAGGCCCTACCAGCAGTCTTCCTTAAGCGTCACCAGCCTTTGATCCACGCCCATTAGAGAGAAGGCATGGGTAGACCACACACACCAGCACTTTCACGAGAGGAAGCTGTGGCTGACTTGGCCCATTGCGACCGTCTCTGGACCCCAGCTGCCGGGACCTTCACCTCGCACAAGCTGGCCTCGAGGCTTCAGGCCCACTTGTGAAAACGTGAAGTCTAAAGATTTGAACTCTTAACTCTTCGACTCATCTGACACTCTTACTGCTTCTCCAGTCCCAATCGAGTGTGTGTGGTCTTACCTTGGTGCCTTGCCAGGACTACCTGGCAGTGAATGAACTGAGCACTTCTGTACTTGTTTAAAACATCAAATCCCACAGGGCAGCGTGCCCAAGCCCATTTACAATGTCAGGCCTTGGGGACACATGGGGTTTTCCAATGGTTCTCACAATTTACCAGCGGCATATTCCCCTAAGAGGTGCTGAGCCAAAGACCTCCCACCTCCTTTCCCAGATCCTTCCAACAGAGCTCCATCCCAGAGACAAATAAAACCTGGGCTCCCAGGTGAGTTCCCACTCCAGGAATAGCTCTGGCCTCCCCAAAGACCCCCCACTCTTACTCTGCATCGAAAAATTAGTCCCTCTCCCTTCCCCTGGCGATCCCTCCCTTTCCCTACTTCTCTGCCATTCCGACTCCTTAAGCTCGAAATGTGGGTTGACGTGCCCTAAGGGCAGATGGGCCACCGGGGGACATCTACCAGAACCCTCAAACACACCGGCCATTGTCCACTGTCTCCACTTTAGAAGCCCAGCTTCCACCTCGGAATTCTTAGCCTCCCACATTCCACAAGCTGAAGGACGGCCGTTCCAGAGGGGATCCAGTAGCTGCCCGTGTCTGCACGTGGAGCTGCGGAACCGAGCACCTGGCCCAGAGAGCGGAGCCCCAAGCTGAGAGGAAGAGTGTGGACTCCATAGGGGTGTGTCCTCCTTTCAGAGCCCTGCGGGCTTCGCCTGTACTAACAGATGTATGGAGACAGAAGTCACTTACCATCGAATTAGTTCACTCATGGAAAGTATGCCGGCTGGAGGATGACAGTACATTCATAGAACGCAGTGTTCATTCTCACAGCCAAGTGGAGACCATGGTCAGCACCCTGAAAGAAGCCCCATGCGCTTTAGTGATCAGCTTGTCACCCTGGCCATCCCAACCCCAACCCCAGGCAACCACTAATCTACTTTCTATCTCTAGTCATTCGCCTGGTCTAGGCGATTCACCCAAATGGAGCCTTACAATATGCTGTCTTTTGTGCCTGGCTTCTTTCTCGCAACGCAGTACAAGATTTACAGAGTGTGCATCCATTTGTAGCATGTCCTGGAATTTGATTCCTCTTCGTGACTTAATAATGTTCCATTATTTGGCTGCATTCCTTTTGTTTACTCATCTGTCCATGGATAGACAATTGGGTGGTTTCCGGCTTTGGTTCTTGTGGACATTCCGCTATGAACATCCGTGTACAGTTTTTGTGTGGATATAGATGCTCATTTCTTTGAGCCTATTCCACTCCTAGGCAGGAATGGAATTATTTGGTCATATGGCAACTCCCTGTACCAGGTACAATGCCAGACTTCTTCAAAACAACAACCATTTTCCATGGCCACCAGCAGGGTATGAGGGTCCCCATTTGTTTACATGTTCACCTACACTTGTTGTCACCTTGCTGTTTGATTTTAGCCATCCTAGTGGGTGTGAGGTGGTCTCGTGATTTGGATTTGCATTTCCCTGATGGCTAATGACGGTGAACTTCCTTTCAGGCTGAGCCTCCAGGCCATTTATACGGCTCCTCCTGAGAAGTGGGTATGCAAATTATTTGCCATTTTAAAGTTGGCATATCTTTATGTTGTAAACATAAAGTTGTAAACATTCTTTATATATTTTGGATCCAAGGATTATCTGATATGATTTGTGACATGTTCTCATTCTGTGGGTTGTTCTTTATTTAAACTTTGATTTCGGTAAAGAATATGCAAATAAAACAAACACCAATTCAACGGCTTCCAGATGTACAATTCTGCATGTGACATCGATTACATTCTTCGGGTTGTGCTACCTTTCTCAATTTTCTTTTCCGAAGGATTTCATTGCTAACAGAAAGTCATTGCTCCCTAAGCGTCCCGTCAAACCTTTCAAGTTGCTGTTATAAATCTGATCACATATAAGTAAGGTTGAAATTGTGAAGGATTTCATTTTACTCGGATCCATAATCAATACTCATGGAAGCAACAGGCAAGAAATCAAAATATGTACTGAATTTGCTGCAAGAAAAACCAACAACAACACACACACACACACAAAATGCTTTTGAAGTGTTAAGGGGCAAAACCGTCACTTTAAGGACTAAGGTTCCCTGATTCAGGCCACGATATTTTCAATCACCTCATATGCATTTTGGACAGTGCGTCAGGAAGATTGTAGAAGACTCGGTGCACTTGAGCTTGTGTGTTGGTAAAGACTATTAAATGTATCCTGGGCTGCCAGAAGAACAAACAAATCTTTCCTGGAAGAAGTACCACCAGAATGTTCCTTAGATGTGCGTTTGGAGAGACTTGGTCTCACGTACTTTGGACATGTTATCAAGAGAAACCCCAGTCCGTGGAGAAGGGCATCATGCTTGGGAGAGAGTCAAGAGGAAGACGCTCCATGAGATGAGCCCACACAGGGGCTGCAGCAGTGGACTCACACACAGCAAAGTTGTGAGGGTGACACAGTCCCGCGCAGCCTTTCCTTCTCTTGGGCCCCTGTGTCTGCAGGACCCAGAGAAGGACACCTAATGGCAACAGCACCTGACTCGATGACAGGAAAGGCCTTTTGGAGTTCCGGGTCAGTTCTCAGGAGCCCTGGTAGCACAGTAGGTGAAACTTTGGACTGCTAACCACACGGTCAGCAGTTCAAACCTACCAGCTGCTCTGTGGGAGAAAAGTGCAGGCTTGCTGCTCCTGGAAAGATTTAGAGCCATGGGAACCAACAGGGCCAGTTCTACTCTGCCCCACAGCGTTCTTATGAGTCAGAGTTGGGTCAAGAGCAGTGAGTTTTTGGTTTGAGGTCACTTCTCCAATTCCTCTTTGTTATGGAGAATTACGGGAAGGAGCCCAGCTAAAAGAAGAGGTTGGCTCAGCGGCTGTTAAAAAGTCCCATGATGACCAGTGGTGAGAGTGGCAATACTGGGAGGGTGGAGGGAAGGTGGGGTAGGAAAGGGGGAACTGATTACAAGGATCTACATATAATCCCCTCCCTGGGGGACAGACAACAGAAAAGTGGGTGAAGGGAGATGTCGGACAGTGCAAG